CTGTCTGATTTTTTCATGCAATAGTGAAAGCAAGGAAGTTTTGTAAGTTTTTGAACTAAAGAACAGTAAACTTGTTTTTATAGTATTTTCTTATTTTGATGTTTTGGCCTTTTTTTTTTCTTTTTTTTACTTAGAACAATATGTACTAATTTTTAAAGTTTCAGATTAATTTTTTTTTTTTTTTTTTTTTTTTTTTTTTTTTTCTCAAAATAAAGATGCGTCTTATATATTAATCTATCTTCATCTGAAAAATACAGTACTTTACACTTAATCCTAACTTAAAAAATGATACTCAGCACAAGCTGATCTAAATTATTGTAGACTTGAAATATTGTGGCTTTTCTTCTATTAGAAGTTTTAGACTAAAGCATTTCATAATGTTGAATAAAAAAACATTTTTAGTGAACAGTTACTTTAATTTAAAACTTTCTTTTTAGAGTGTCAAGTTCTAATTGTGATAATCAAACTGATATTTACAACAAAATATTTGTTGGTAAAATTATTTTGTTTAAATTTAAAACATCTAATGCTTGGTTACTAGAATTTCAAAAATTTCCATCTATCATTTTCTTTCAGAAATTGGCCTTACGGGAAATTAGTACCTCTCGATACACAGAAGAATTCTTTGAAGTTTGTAAATTGGGAGATGGAGAGTTTGGTAGTGCTTACAAATGTGTGAACAGATTAGATGGCTGTGTTTATGCAATTAAGAAATCCAAAATGCCAATTGCGGGAAGTCAGTATGAGTAAGTTTTTCATTTTCCTTCTTTATTCTGATTGGCTGTTTTATTGATATTGTTTATAGAATGTTAAATGTTAACATTTTGAATTTTATGTCTTGATGTATTCATTATGCAGCTACAGAAATTTTATTTTGATATTATCTCTTCTTCACTAAAGATCATCTCTGAAGTTTTCATTAAATATATTTTCATTACAAACTTTTGTGATTAGCCATGTCATATGGGTTTTGGAACTGGTAAAAATACTTTTACATATTTTTTCTTTAAAAAATAAAAACCAAAAAAATATTTGCATATCTAATTATAATTTGTTTATATTATTTTAAAAGGGATATATTTGGAGGTTTTTTTTTTTTTTTTTTTTCAATGCTTCTAGAATTTTATAGGATGCTCATTAATACGCAATCCTTTGCTCATCTGGTAGAATTTATAGCCAAAAACCTCTTAAACTTTGTCTAAATTTTGTGTAACACTTGCCTTTTAATAATTTTAATTTGCTGTTGTATCTTTCCAATATATATCTTACTTATTATAAAACGCAGGTTGTGTGTGTGTCTGTAACGTTTATATGTTGGATCGAATTTCCTACATTTTTTAGCCGATTTCAACAAAACTTCACGGGACTACATAAAATTACCTTGTAGTGGTTTTAATAGGGCCGAAAATGGGGGAAAAATACAGTTGTTTTTTAATAAAATCAATTTGCAAACATGATTAAGACACATCGTGAGAATGAAAGAGGGACAACTCACCCACGAAAATGTAAACAAAAGAGCATAGCATGATGAAAAAGACGCCGAACTTGACGAAAACAAAATTTTATCGTCTAATGTTCATATTATTATTAAAGAGGAAAGCTCAAAGTATTTTGGGGTATTTTTTACAATTTTAATCGTTCCTAGCACGTCTGAAATTTTCGTTAAAAAATATTTTGGTCAAAAAAAGGGCAGATAATCATTTTCAATCATTTTTTCTCTTTGATAAAAAAGATTAAAATCTTACTTTGATATTCTTTTAAAAGTCAATTATCATTTTTTCAAAACTGATTTTAATAAAAACAGAAATTATACTGTTTATTTAAAATATTTTGAACCAAGCTTAACTTAGCTTCTGCGCCGAAAAAATGTAATTTGAAAATAAAACAAAGCAGGTCATAACCTTTCGTGTCGCTTGACGATTGACGAAAGGCACATTCATGACGTTTAGATAACTTACGGGAGGAGAATTCTTTCTACGGATGGAAGGAAGTGAAATTATTTAAGTGAACAAATTATTTACCTTGTTACTTTTAAGGAAAACTTTCAGCGCTCTAATTTTTTTAATTTTTTTTTTTTTGTACTTAGCTTTCATTTTTACGTTTACGATGCTTTATGGAAAATATAAAGAAATTAAAAAATAAGACTGTTAATAGTGAGATTAAATTTCATATTTCATAAGAAAGGTATCTAATTAATTTATAGGTACCTTTCTTATGAAATTTTATCAGAAGTGTACATAAAATACCATAATTTTATGTACATTTATTACATTTGACTGTGTTATTTTGTATTTCCATTCATTTTATTATTAATTTTGATATTTCATTTATGGAAAAATGTCATAACTGAGATTAATATAAAAATAAGATCATATAAATTAAAGTTTAGCAGTAGTTAAATTTCATAAGATGATACTGTTACTTGTAGGTAGCCTTCTCAGTTGAAATTGAAAACTCAAATTAACTTCTCCATACGTGTTTAAGTAAAAGTAAAAGGGCTTAACAGCGGAGAACAATGCTGAACTCAAATAGTGCAACTAAATTGTATTCTGGTTGGTCTTCCGTACTTGATAATTACTGTCCGACTGTAAACACAAAAATTACATTTCTTAATTACCATGGCTAATCTGATTGGCCCAAATTATACAATTTTCAAAGCGCTAGACAATGACAATCTCACACGGACATTTTGAAAGGTTGATATTGCTTTTAACTAATGTTAAAATATTTTTTAAAATTCAATTTAAACATTTTTTTAAAAAACTTTTAAAATTAAAGAAATAAGAAATAATTGTATTAAAAATTCAATTTTCATTGAAAAAATTTTTGCTTTTCAGAAAATATTGTCCATATTCATAAAAAACAAATTAAAACAAATAAAAGCATTTGAAATTAAATAATATATTTGTTTTATTGAGTTTTGTATGTTACAATTCACAGCTGATTTTCAGGTATGTTGGCCAAAAAAAAAAAAACAAAAAAACACATGATTTGCATTCTTCAAAGCCTTGTGCTTTTAACTATTGTAATCACTAAAACCGATGGCCTCGAATTTCTAGAGTTTTTCATAAAATTAGTTATGGGGGTGTTAATAAATATAAAAAAAAAAATATTTCTGCCATGACTAATATAAAAAAAAAAAAAAATATTTATAATAATTTCGATCATCTGTGAATAGTTTCTGAAAGTTTCATTAACATCTGACAATTATTTTTATTTTTGCAAGATTTTCCAAATTAATGTGTGTAAATACAAAAAAATGCGCTAAAAATTATCTGTTATTTACTACCCCTTGTTGCGACAAAGAGAAACAAGGTTTTTAAATCAAAATTTAGAATGTTCTAAAAGATGGAAAAATTTTTAAAAAAATAAAAAAAAATTTAGTCTATCCTCTTCATAAAAAAAAATAAGCATTTTGACGATAAAATTTTGTTTTCATAAACTTTGGCGTCTTTTTTCATCAGATTATGCTCTATGTTTTAGCGATTCCGTGGAGTGACTTAGGTTAAAAAAAACCCAGGTTGTGTGTGTGTGTGTTCCTTTATATATGGGATCGGATTTCTTACATTTTTCAGCCGATAAAACAAACATCCGCTTTTTTTTTTCGGCAGGTAGTATTTCTTATTGTCTTGCACACTTTTTTCTTTATTTACATTCAGAATGCTTTAAAAAATTCCATTTACAAGATAATTGTTTATAATAAAATTCTATTCACCAATCGATAGACTCATAACGATTGTAAAATAATGTTTTTTGTTTGAATTTGGGTTTGACCAATTCGTAAAAAAAAAAAAACTAATTAAGACATGCGTGTCCGTCAACCTTAAACAATAATCTTTGTCAGTTTTATTTTTCAGTCTTTATGATGGTTGATACTTGATCTATCTCTTACTGTTACATCCCCGGGCAACGCTGGGCTCTACTGCTAGTATTTAATACACCAAGCATTGTTTTGTCATTTTTTGTCACTTGATTTAGTTGTGACAGCTATCATATTTGTCTTTTTTTTTTTCTTTTTAAACAATTTTGTTAAAATTGATATGTTTGTCAATTGATTCTAGAATTGAAGAAAATAAGCAACATTTTTGGCATAATATACTTTTATTTTATTTTAAGGTAAAAATGAGACATAAACAAAAAACAATTGTGTAATTATGTCAAAAATGATTTGCAAAGTTTTCTGTTGGAAATTCCTTGCTGAACCATACTTGAGCAGATCATTTAAGGTTGTATATGATTAAATAATGACATTAAATTAAGAATAAATTTTATCAGACAACTAGTGTATTCAAAAAATAAGAAATGGGATATTTTTAAGAACAAATTGTAACCAGAAATAGTAAATGGATAGCTTATTACAATGTGAGGAAAGCAAAATAAATTATTGCCAACCATACCAAGGATAGTCTTCATTTAAAGTAGATGATATATTAAAATTAGAAGGGCAGTTTTCTGCTAAAACCTGCCTTCTGAAGATTCAAACACATTACTTCTAACCACATCAGTTTGAAGGCAGCTATCATTGAAGTGCCCAGAATTAGTTAAGAAAAATAACACAATATTCCATCAGGATAATGATAGACTTTTTTCTTCTCCAAATTGGTTGGAAGTTTTTACTTAGCCACTGTATTAGACAGATATTGTAATTTGGATCATTTATTTAGACTTTAATTGAAAAATTAAATTCCTTGAATGACTGCAAAAAGCACCTAGAGTAGTTTTTTTGGTTAGAAAGATAAAAAGTTGTAGGATGATAGAATTATGATGTTGCTTCAATATCTCAAATATATATTTGATTATATTTAAACTGTAAAAATTTTTTATGGCTGATATATGTGACAAATAATTTAATTTGCAAATATTTCTATCTATTGTGTTCTCTCTACTTTCAGGCGTACTGCTTTAAATGAAGTTTATGCTCATGCAGTTCTTGGTCAGCATCGTCATGTTGTTCGCTATTACTCAGCTTGGGCAGAAGATGACCATATGTATATACAAAATGAATTTTGCAATGGTGAGTCATATCTAATATCTTTATCCCTACATTTCCTTTTTTTTTTTTTTTTTTTTTTTTAACAGTTTTTGAAATCAATATTCTCTGATAGTTTTTTTTTTTTTTAATTATTTTTGTGTGTGACAATGGCAAAAATTAAATAATTGTTGGATTTTAATGAAGCATTCAGGGCTTGTTCACAAATGAATGAATTTATGAATGAAATTATTAGAAAATTTTTTTTTTTTTTTTTTTTACATCTTTTATGTTCCGACTTAATTTCATAAGATTTTCTAGAATTTGAAATCGTCAATGAAATGTTTTTTATTAGTTAAAAAGCCAGGCACCTTGAAGAATCTAAATCAATTTTATTTTATTTTTTCCAAACTAGGTTACTAAATTTTCTAAAATCTCCAAATTGTAAAATAAAATCTGTGATAAAATTATCAAATTAGATAAATTGTTTCTAGAAATAATATATATTAAGGACATTATAGCCTGAAGAAAAAAATTTTTTTACAAGAATTATTTGCATTTTTCTTTTTTGATTATAAAATTTCAAAAATGTTTTAAAATTCTTCAAACATTGTTGAAGTTAGCTTAAGTGAAAATTGAAAAGCTTAATACAAATCATCCCACCCAAAATTTTTACAATTAAAAATAATTTTTTGTTTCCAAATGTTTTATTTTTTATTATTATTATTTTTTAAGTATTGTTTCATATGCAACGTGATTGTTAGAAGACTACGTTTTCAAAGGTTGTCCCCCTTACGCTCATAAACCTTTTAGTTCTACTTAACAAAAATTTGTAAGTTTTAAAAATACATTTAAGAAACAAAAATGAAAAACATTTCCTGAAGCTTTCATTTGATCATTATTTGAAAGCTAAATGTTTAAAAAAAATTAATTTTTACTACTTCCAGTAAGCAAAATATTCTGTATTTCAAACAAATTATATATTGATTAGAAGAATGTTTTTTTTGTATATTTTTTGTCAGTAAAAGAAAAAAAAAAACAATAGAAAAATGTTGCCTTTTTTTTTTTTTTTTTTAACAGAAGTTAATTCTCGTTTGTTAAATACAATATATTTTTCTGAAATGTTAAGGAAAATGAAGAAATTTAAGGTTAATCTGATTTGATAAATAAAAAAATTAAAATGTATACACTGCTGATGTAAAAAAATAAAAATAACCAAAATTTCGAACCTAATATATATATGGTCCAAAAAGTTGCATTACCATTGATAAACTTGTAAATTTTATATATATTTACCAAGTGCAATCATGTTTCTGTATGTGACAATATATTAAGAAATTTTATTGTCGAATTATGGAAGATGATTTCATGAAAATTTTCCCTGGTTGCTATTTCATAAGTGTATATTTTCTACCAATTGTAGCATGACTTTTGGAACTCTGTCTGTTTCATGCTCAAATACAATCTTCAAGCCATGAAGATTGCATTTGAGTGTGAAGCACTCATCGCATGGTGTTGACATCACTGTTCACTTATATATATTCTATCTCTGATATTGAGCACTTCTGCCCACAAATATAGCATACCATAAAACTATATTTTTATTGTGTGTTTGATTTTCTGGAATTTTTGAGTAAATAATGTTATGAAACAATTTGGCATAAATTTTACATTTTTATATTTCTCAGGTGGCAGCTTATCTGAAGCCATGAAAATACCAGTGTCTGAGCATTGTCTGAAACAAATAATTCTTCAGATAGCTCATGGTCTTAAATATATACATTCCAAAGGCTTGGTTCATCTTGACATTAAACCTGGTATGTTGCAGTAGTTCTTATTTTGGATTTGTTCATTTTGATGCATGCTTCCCAGATATTCCCATACCACTTATTGCTTTTACTTTTTAGCATTATTATGTTATAATCTAACATAATTATGTATGAGGTCTATCCAAAAATGTACCAGCTATTTATTACATGTATTATCTTGATTTAACTAGAAAATCTATCAAATGGGATCTTATGAGCCTCTATTCTTCATGAATTGGGCAAGAATGTCTGGCAGAACACAATATCAACTTCTGGCCTTTTATTAAAGGTGAAATTGCCATTGAAAGGGAGACAATTTCCAATTGTGGATGAGATAAAAGGTAATGTAACAAGGCAGCTGATGGTCATTTTGAAAGAACTTTGAAGGTCCTTTTGAAAAGTTAGAAGGTATGCTGGAACAACTGACCTCCCAAGATGTGTACTTTTAAGAGACTAAAGGCTTCATTGTCCTTCTTTTTTATTATGATTAGTTTTAGATAAGAGGCTGGATCATTTTCTGACAGAAGTTGTAATTGATTTAGAAGTTCAGAAAATAACATTTTTATCTTGAATTATTTTGGACTTGTTTCTTTTCAAATTATTCAGTTTTCTTTTTTTTTTTTTTTTCTTCCTATGAGTAGTGATAAGAATAATAGTAATAATAATAATGAATTTCTACAGTGATAATTTATTGATATTTTTAAAAAATGTTAATAGTTAAAAATTAATAAATTGTTGTAATTCACAGTAAATTACAATATTTGCAAATATTGTTTAAAATAGCAAAAACCCAGTCATAGATTAATCAGGGATTAAGTCTAAAGGCCATTTGTCTGTTATCATATCGTATATTAAGATAACATTCATTGTCATGCTATGTATAAATGGAGCATTAAAAAAGTGTATATATTAGAAATTGTGTTTGTCTCGATTTGACATTGGTTATATAATGTACGTATGTGTATATATTGTCTCAATTTGACATTGGAGTATATGTATATTGGATGTATAATTATATATATTATCTTGATTTGACATAATAATTTGAAGTTGCTTGAATTTTCAATATTAAATTATTAAATATGTTTCTTTTTTATATATGAGACTTATTTGTCCTGTTACTTATGAAGTCTGCTAAATATCTTTTGGTCAAAGGCAGGAATATTTTATCTTCACTTTGTTCATATTTCTCTCCTTCCTTCCCTTAATTTTATATTAAAGATATTTTCCTAATTTTTTTTTTTTTTTTTTTCTCGCAATGTAATCTTACTAAACCAATAAAACTCTTGTTAATCTATTTCCTGGTTAATATAACAATTGTAAAACACATTTTCCTACCAAGTTTATTTTCAACATTGATTCAACTAATCTATGCAAATGAGCATTACTAATCCAGGATATGACGATAAATTATATCTGGCAGCAAGGTCTCTGATCAGGAGATTGCAGGTTTTGAGGAGCGTGGATCCACCTCTTTCTTTCACGATCCACTTTGACCAAGGGTGGTAGCACTTGTTAGGGTCCCAGCTATGAGCAAATAATACTCCCCTCCCAAAACCAAAATACTACAAAAGTATAAAAAGACATTTTAATAGTAAAAATACCAGTAGCATATTTTATAACAAAATAGTCAACAGTACATTTTATCCGTAGTTGAAGGCATACAACTGTTCAAAATGTTTAGATTTTGACATTAAATAACCCATAGTTTGATATAACATTTAACAAAATCAACCAATATGAAAGAACTCTTTCATGACATTAAGGAATTATAAGATATTATATGGATTAAAGAAATCAAACTGTATTTCAAAATATAACTTCAACAAATGTACAATATAAAATGAGCATATCACTGCCTTTCATAATCATGTCCACACAAACATGTATATTCACAAAAACTCAGTATCCTCTACCATGTATTCAATTGTGAAAGCAGAATAACATATTTTTGCTACTTCAATAAATTATCACTATTTGGCCACATGCACTCAATTTCAAGTGAGAGGTGATGAATTTGTCTTTTTGGATTTACTCACAATAACCAGTACAGTCTGGGTTCAAGGCATTCATATATTGTGTAATCCTTCCTCAGACAGTACCTGAACTTTGATCTCAATGTTTATACAAAATTAATATTCAAAGATAAAATTTTTGGTAGTAATAAACACTCTAAATTGATGACTGTGCCAATGTTGTAATAGAATTTCAAACCATTCGTGAGAATCGGACAATTTGCTGGAAAAATTATTTTGCTTTTCAGGAAATATATTTGTACACAGAGAAGAATCAACATCAGTAGAAAGTGGAACAGAATCCTGTGGGGATGATGACTCAGATATGGTAACGCTAGTTAAATACAAAATAGGTGAGTAGTCATTTAATTTCCCAGCCCGTCTTTAACACAATGCTTGGGGATAAGATAGCTTTTGGGGGGGGGGGGGGAACTGTATAATAAAAAGTAATATTATTGTAATAATTTAAACTATTTTTATTAAAGTTTTTATGAAAGATATATATCCAAGAACAGATAGTAAATAAGACATTGTTGTTGAATTATAATAGACAGGAAGTAGTGGAGAGCCATTGTTGCCAACAATTTGGACTCAAAACTGGCATTGAAGAATTATCAACCAAAAAAAATTTCAGTGAAATCAGATGAAAACTCTGGGAATGCATAAACATCTGATCTCATACACACATTTTGTGAATTATAGATGAGATAAACAGGATAATTATATTTGGATTTTTTTTTTTTTTTTTTTTTTTTTAAGTAACTTAGTTAAATTACGCTTATAATTTTGGAGGTGTTTTATAAAGTAAACATCAGTAACTTTTGATCAGATCTCTGTTAAATATTTATTTAGCCCCCCCCCCCCTGACATTCACCCCACTCACTCTGACCTCTATGAATGTCATGAAATTATTCCCAACCTCACTTTCCCTTCCAAACTCTCCATCACACTCCCACCACACCTCCAAGCTCTCTTTAGCTAGGTTAAAAAAAAACGTTTCTGATATTAGAAAGCCATATAAATACCAAATGGAGTTTTTATCTCCTTTGAATTTGAATTCTTTTTTTCCCAGTTTGATTTGACTTTTTAATTTCTTTTTTTCTATTTCTTTTCTTTTCCTCTTCCCCCAGGTGATTTAGGTCATGTGACCAAAGTTAACAATCCTAAAGTTGAAGAAGGTGATTGTCGCTATCTTCCCAAAGAAATTCTCATTGAAAACTTCAGTCATCTTTACAAAGCTGATATATTCTCTTTAGGACTTACAGCATTTGAAATGGTAATTTATTAATTCTAATTTCATTTTGTTTTTGGTTTTTAAATTATTGCTACTTTTATTGAAAAGGATGATAAATAAATAACAAAGATAAATTTTCTCACAAGAGATTTGTCCACTTGAAAAAGAAAAAAAAATCTTTATATTGTATGTTAATTGCTTAACAAAAATGTGCATTTTAACATGAAAGGCTTTGACTTTATTTTCAAAGAAATCTTACTTATTATAAAACGCAGATTGTGTGTGTGTGTCTGTACGTTTATATATTGGATCAGATTTCCTACATTCTTCAACTGATTTCAACAAAACTTCACAGAACTACGTAAAATTACCTTGCGGTGGTTCTGACAGCGCCAAAAATTGGAAAAACACAATTGTCTTTGCACAAAATCAATTTGAAAACACGATTAAGAGGCATTAATGAAAGGGGGACAACTCATATCGAGTTATACTTATAAAACCCAGGTTGGTTGGTTGTTTGTGTGTGTGTGTTTGTTCGTTTAAATATGGGATTGGATTTCCTACATTTTTCAACCGATTTCAACAAAACTTCCCTTTCTTTTCTTTTTTTTTGGCAGGTAGTGTTTCTTATTGTCTTGCACACTTTTTTTCTTTATTTTTACATTCAGAATGCTTTAAAAATTCCATTTACAAGACAATTGTTTATAATAAAATTCTATTCAATCAATAGATTCATAACGATTGAAAACAATGTCTTTGTTTGAGTTTGGTTTGACCAATTCGTAAAAAAAAACAAAATAATAAAACTAATTAAGATGTGTGCCCGTCAACCTTAAACTTTGTCAATTTTATTTTTCATTCTTTATGATGGTCGATACTTGATCTATCTCTTACTGTTACATCCCCGGGCAACGCCGGTTTCTACTGCTAGTATTTTATAATTCTACCAGATTTTTGCTAGCATGGTTTACATTTTAAGTGATATGGAATTAGCAGGTTGTTATACCCTTTTTAATTCTTATTTTAGGGTGGAGGAGGTCCCCTGCCAAAAAATGGTGACCTTTGGCATAGCATAAGAGAAGGAAACTTGACGTTTTTACCACAGTATTCGATTGAACTCAATCAACTTTTGAAGGTATGGTTACATTTTAAATTTTGGATGAATTGATTATAGAAAGAAAATCGGTTTAATTTCTGACAAAATTTTATAATTTCTATCTATATTTTTTTTATCATCATCATTGATACAAATATATATTTCCCTCTTTCCTCCAGCGTCTCTCTTCCTAAAACAAAATTATAATCAGTTTTAATTTAATTTTTTTTTTTTTTTTTTTTTTTTTTTTTTTTTTTCAGAGCATGGTGCATGCTGATCCTGAATGCCGTCCAAGTGCCTTTGCTTTGACAAAAAGTCAGGTTCTTTGTCCACAAGCAACAAAATCAAAAACACAGTTATGCCGGGAGCTTAATGAAGAAAGATTGCGGAATAGATTACTTTCAAAGTAAATATGTTTTTGTTTGTTTGTTTGAGATTTTTGATTCTTGGTGCTCGTCATTGTCAGTAATTTGCACTCTAGCATCTTTTGCTTCTCTTTTTCTGCCTTTCAGGACATGGCTCTCCACAGCTTTTTCTTGCACTCAGCTATACTTTTCTCTTTATGACCTTGTCTTATTGCTATTTATTGGATCCATTTACACAAGATTGTCATGTGGGTTTCTAAATGTTTACTTCTCTTGTCTTTTGTGTGTTAAATTCTCCATGCCTTTTCCCTTATGTGTCTAAAAAAAATTTCAACCGTCTCTTTCTGATGACAATCACTTCCTTTATAGCTTCTATCCTCTTCAGAGCTTCCACATTTCTCACATGTCCTTAGGCAAGTTGAAAAAAAAAAAAGAAAGAAAGAAAAAAGTGCAATAACTTTAATGCACAGAATTTATAGGAAGGAAAACTACGAAATGTGTGAAGAAAAAAAGAAAAAAAATTTAATACCGAATAGACTTTTTTTTATAAATTTTAACTATTTCTTGTGCAGGAAATTAACACACCCCATCCTAGGCTTTCTGATTAGTTCTAATAATTTCAGAATGTGAAACCCATTATTTATTTACCTTTTGAAAATTCTTTTGGTTACTTTTTTTTTTTTTTTAGTCCACAATTTGAAGAAAGCGTTGCCAGTGCATTGTATTATAAAAGATCCTTTTTTTTTTTTTTTTTTTTTTTTTTTTTCATTGTCTTCTCCCCTCCCCGCTTTCGCTGTCATTGTCTTCAATAGTAACAATACAAAATATCTGCATTGTATGCTTATTTAAATAGAGAAAGGAAATTCTGTGTCCTTTCCAGTGAATTTGTTAGAATTTATAATATTTATATATAATCATTTATAATTTTGGCAAATTTTTGTAAAAGAGTAGTAGAATAAATAGCTAATGAAAAGAGAAAAGAAAACATGAAATTTCACTTTTTCTTTTCAATCTTGTAATTTATAGCTAAAATAAAATTATTTTTATAATCTCGATTTTTTTTTTTCGTTTAACTTTATCAAAAATTAAAGTCCCTTTGACTTTTTGCATCTAACTTTTTCTCTTTTTTTCTAGGCAGCTGGAATCAAAGAGATGTTGCTGTAAGAAACCTACAGAAAAATGTAAAGGCAATTTCTGCAAGTCTTCACGCTTGATAGGACATGGAATCAAGCGGTCCTTCAGCCTGTCTGATATTTGAAGAGGCGTTTTTACCTGTTGATGGGACACATGACTAAAAGCATTGCACAATCATTGCCCCTTTCCAATTTATTGGGGGAAAAAATTATATTTTTCTTAGAATGAAGACAGATCTTTTTTACATACCATTTCAATTTTTTTAATATTTATTTTTAAGCTTAATTCTTTAAATTTTATTAGTCGTTCCTTCCAGACATCCAAAATTATTCAACTGTTCTCTCATTTAATTATGTAAACATGTAGTAAAAGAAGAAAAAGGTGATCAATAATTTATAAGTGTTTGATAATTCTGTCTCATCAATTTTTAAAAAGTGCTGATATTGACTACACCATTTTCAGTATGGTAAGGACATATTTAAGAATCATTCCTAGTTGGGAAATTTCAAATTGTCTAATTTGTGTGTTAAGTTACTAATCATTTTAGTATAGAAATGGGACTTTTAAATCAAGTTAAGCAAAGATTTTAAAGTATTATTTCATTTTTTTAGTTTGATAGGATTATTTTAAATTTGGCCAGTCAGTCTTGAGTTTTTAAAATCACTGCTTTGGAGTTTAGCATATTAGCAATAAGTTTTTTTTTTTTTTTTTTTATTTAACATTTTCAAATATTTGCAATTCTTAAGTTCAATGAGTTCTTAGAAATTTCTTGCCCTTCTTTTTTTATTTTTTTTATTTTTTTTTTTTTTTTTTCATTTTGTAACTCAATAGTTTCTGCAGTTTAATGTAAATTAACTTTTTTTTGTTAGGTGTGGGAGTCATCTTTATTTTCTTTCTTTTATTATAAGGTCCTACTAATTCTCCAACCTATTGCCATTAGTCAATTTGTACTCAAGTCTGATGGCCCTCTTAATGTATGATGATATACTTACAATATAATGGATATATTTTGTAGTCAATTTTTTTTTTTTTTTTTTTTTAAATTGTGAATATAATTTTAAGTTTTAATCAAACAAAGCTAAATGACAAAGTTGACTACAAATCTCCCTATGTATATACGTATATTTTTCTTTTGTATTTTCTTTAATGGTCCAAACAAATTTTTTCTGTCTCTTATATATAATGTTGTACAATATACTTGCCATAGAAATATATACCTGGAAAAAATTTGAACCACAACAGCTGCAGATTTCCAAACTGTAAATATCTTGCTTTATATAGAAGCTAATTGTTGACAAGTTGATCATTTCTGATGTTTTATGAATGATTAAAAAAAATATTTCAAAATTTATACTTTTGTCTTTACTTTCATTGTAATTTTGGGGTGGCATGGTCTTTGAGAACACATAGCAAGTCTAATTTGCAAAAATGTTAGGCTGAAAGCTATTTCAATATGTTTAATCCTAATGTGGGGATTTTACTTCAATTTTGAAAAATTTGTCATGGATTTTACAAACACAAGCAGTAGCTGTGAACATTTTTTTTTTTTTTTTTTTTTTTTTTTCCTGGTGAATTATTTTTAATTTAATGATTGTAAGCTCCTTGCAAGTTCCATGACTAAAATACCTGTGGAAATTTCCTGTTTTACAAAATTAAATATTTGAACTTAAAAACTTTAACAAAATATTTCAATATAACAATCATAAATATCAAAGAAAAGTGGGCACAAATGAAAAGATTAAAAACTGACAGGTTTTTCCATTTCATGAAAGCTGACATTAAGCACATGAGAACATTATCAACTATGATGCAAACAATTTCTTTTCTACTGCAAAAGCCGGAGAAAGTATTCATGCAGATGATCTCCATATTTAAATTTGCATCCTGCAAGAACATAAGAGAAGTTAATATTGGGGTAGAATGTATGACTGTTTTCTCCAGCAGTAGGAGTTTTTTTTTTTTTTTTTTAAAGCCTACATTCAGTCTTCAAACTACATATTTAGAATGTGTATTTTTATTAAGCTATTTTTGTTCTATTAAGTATTTTCTCATTAAAAAGAAAAATCTTACAGGAAGTAACTTCATTTGATAAATATGGCAGAGATGTTTGGGTGAATACATGACTTTTGCATAGATGAGATTCTGGACAAGTATGACTTGTCTTCCAGGATGGACTTAAAACTAATTTGATTCCTTTGGAGAGATTTTAAGTGGGCAGGGAAATTGACATTGGTAGTGGCAGCTGAGGTTTATTCCCTACAAGGGGAACCATAACACAGTTGCAAATTACATGGTGGCTTTTTGATAAAGACTAATATATTGGCAGACAGGATATTGATACCTATCAGTAAGGTTTTCGAAAAAATGTGATTTATATGATTGATACAACTGCAAGTTTTTGCCAGAAGGAAAACTGCTATTGACTTCTACCACCTTGGTCTTTTGTTGACTCCATTAAAATGAATCTGTCTTTAACCTTTTAATGCCCATCTACATAATGTCTACTAGTAGAACATAATTTAAGACCTTATATATATATATATATACATACACACACAAGCTTTGATTTTGATTGATAATATACAGGGAAAAGACTAAAGTAAAATTTAGTAGCAGTAAAATGTAGGAAATCCGATCCCATATATAAACGAACACACACAAACCTGGGTTTTATAAGTATAACTCGATATGAGTTGTCCCCCTTTCATTCTCGCATCAGCGACGCCTCTTAATCACGTTTTCAAATTGATTTCATGTAAAAACAATTGTTTTTCCAATTTTTGGCGCTGTCAGAACCACCACAAGGTAATATTACGTAGTCCTGTGAAGTTTTTTTGAAATCGGTTGAAAAATGTAGGAAATCCGATCCAATATATAAACATACCGACACACACATCCTGGGTTTTATAATAAGTATGATGATTTAACTAGTTTATACCAATGGTTTGATTTTGCTCATTTGGCATGGTTGTGTTGTAACAATACATTGATAAATACAAAGAAAATTTGTGAAAAGGCATTCAATTGGTTGTAAGATCTTCAGTAGTAAAAAAAAAAAAAAAAATGCCCTTCACCTATTTACTAATTAACAATATTAATTAGGAAGCATTAACTGCTATGAGAACATTTTCTTTCATCACTTAATATGACTTCAATTCAAAAACATAGTCGGCCTAATTTACCTGTCCGTAACTCTTGCATTAATTCCTGATCAGTGACAATTCCTTTTCTTTGATGTACAGCATATACTGAAACAACCACCTGCCTAATGTGATGATCCTTTGTGTGTCTTCAAAAACTGATCAGGCATGGACCCTAAAGATTTCCTTTTGGATGTGATGGGAGAATGCTAACAGGTCTTTCAACTGCTGTAATTTCTGTTAGATACTCCCTAGAGCAAACTCTGATCCAATTCATTCTGTAAATGCTCAATGGGATTTAAATCTGGAGGGTTCAGTTGTCAAACCATTCCTGTACAACTTGTGCATAGTTTTGCTGAAAAGGAGATTTAACTTGGTCTTCAATGACTGGGAGCTAGGTAACAGAATATTTTCTTGAATTTCCAAGAAAAATATTTTCTGTTATCACAGTATCTTAGTGGTATTGTTTCCTTAAAATAATGGCAGACATAACCTATTGTTTTCCTTTTAAGGAGAAAGATATTTATTGAGCAGATTGTTCCATTGAAGTCCACTTCTAATTGTAACACTGGAAGAAAAATTTAAGGTTAAGAAAGAATAAAAGAAACAGCCACACAGGTTGTTGGAAATTGTATTTTTAAAATGCAAAATATTTGACAGAAGTCCCACACAGAAAAGGAGTTTTTTTTTTTTTGTCCATGAATTGACTAATCAGCAGCAAGGTGTAAATTTTTTTTTTTTATCATTAGCAGCAGTGTGTTATGTTTCTTGCTTTGTATCCTGTAGAGCTGGGTCCTTCGTCCCTATAGGAGAATTGCCATTTGATAGCAGTTTTCTTAATATATGAGATGTTCCTAGTTCCTTCTGGGCAACTTGTCTGTTGATGTTACCTGGGACACTGTTAATAAAATTGTCCATTCCTTTTCTGACAAGGTCCAAATCTCCGATTATTATTGGCACAGCCTCATTCTTCATTTCCCACATCCTAACAATTTTGATCTCCAAGTCCTTATATTTGGACAATTTCTCTATTTTCATCTAGGTGTTTCTCTCAGATGGTACTGTTATGTCAGTAAGCCCAAACTTCCTGAATTTCTTGTTCTTTATGATAATATCAGGTCTGTTGTCTTTTATTTCCCTGTCAGTTTGAATTTGCATGTCCCAGAGGATAGTTACATAGTTATTTTGTGTGTCTGGTTGGTAGTCATAACATCTCTCAGTGGTTTCGATTTTGTGCTTCTTGCATATTTTCCACTGCGCATATGTTGTTACCTTATGCCTGTGGGTATATTCAATTTTTGCTACTTCCAGACATGCTGATATAAGGTCGACAGTTTCATCATATTTTCCGCAAATGCTGCATTTTAAGTTAGCTCCATCCTTGATTATGTGACAGTGATATGATCTGGTTGCGAGGTTTTGGTCCTGAACTGAAATAAGGCCTTCTGTCTCAGCTTTCAACCCAATGTTCTTCAGCAACTGATGTGTTTTCTGTTGCACCACATCGGCTTCTTTCATTCTTTTTAGGTATTTGCTATACAACACATTGTCCTTCCAGTTTTTTTGTAATTTTATTTGGCTAAGTTGTTTTACTTTCTGTTTTACTTGTTTGATGTAGATGGTATTCTCCTCATTTTTTATTGTCAGGGTTTCAGGTATATTAAGTTGTTTCTTGAAGAGTGCAACTTTGTTAATGGAGTGGATTTGCTGTTTTACTATTTGTAGGAGAGGGTCATTGGTTTTTGTGTGGTATGCTTCCAATCAGATTGTTGTAGTTCTTAGAGGTAAAGCTAGATTAGACTGCAGCCTCCTAAAGCGCTTGGTATGTACAGTCGATCAACATCTGATTTTGGGTGGTGTATCCTCATTTGGGGAAATATTGTTTTGGTCTTGGCATCCAATCTTTTAATATCATTCAACTTCCAATTAATAATGTTGAAGCTGTATGTTACAACGGGTATAGTTAAGGTGTTGATAGCCTTCA